AGAGGGAACAATCAATAACGCATTTTTTTGTTTAGTTTCTCGATTTTATTTGCATCAAACGCCGTCTGCTSTAACAAATTTATGACGACGTCGTCATATACAAATCGCTTGCTTTTTTGTAGACCTTATACCCTAAAAGGGACCACAACATTCAGTTGGTGCGCATTCTCGTCKTTATCACCCTAAGCGGGACCAAAACCCTGATTTCAAACCCTAAAAGGGATGACTAGGACCCCGCGCCCCCTTTCATGAGGGAGTCCCCCCCGGGGGTTAAAAGATGTTGCCCTAAATGAAATTGATACTCTGGCTGAATTCATATTTTCTCTTTGTTTAGGGGTATAAAATTCAAATTCTGTAATATATTTGTCGTCCCCATAAAAAAACATAACGATTCATCAAGYAGCTGATAGGAGTGCCCTTCTCACTCTTTACCTGGTGGAATTCTTTTGCTCGTGGATCAGCCAACGACAACTTAACTATTCGACATTTTCAGAATCATTTCTTCTTCTTTACTTGCTAATATTTTGGATTGCCTATTCAACATCTGTTCGAGCTTTCCTCTTTTTCTTCAAACGTTCCATACAGTAATTTTTTTTCAGGAGGGATGGTGTTATCGATTGTCGACAATTCAGTCTTTATACTTGACTAAACGGTCTTTATTTTGAAAATACYGTGTRGCAAATACATGCATCTTTATAACATCAATATTATGTACATAGAATAGAATAGATTAGAACGTGGACATAACGTTAGTTGGCGTCCCCTATCTAAATCTAAATTGAACATGACGTATGATGTTTTCGTGACAGTGGGTTATACGTATTCCCGACCAGAACGTACGGTATGAGTTTAGCGTGATGCAATAGGTCAGTAGCGTGACGCCCCGAGCTGTACAAAGGTCCTCTAGCATTTCAAACGAATATTGCCATGACTTTTCCAGCATTGGGGGAAAAAAACAAAAACAAAAAAACAAAACAAAACAAGCTAAAATTAATTTCCAGTCTATTTTACGTGATATGAAATTAGGATGCTGGTTTATATCATAATATAACAC